TGTGTCAATATTTTAGTGAAGTTTATTGTTATTCTCTAAGTGACTGACATTTGTCCCCAAATCGAAGCTGAAATGGTAATTTTGAGTATTTGTATACAGAACATTAACAGTCTGAGTTTCCATGTTTTTGTCGTCAGACCTTCGTGGTTTTGTTCATTTATTTGTCACAGCCTTGAGTCCTAACTGAGGACCACGAATCCAACATGAGCCTCGAACCCTTTTCACAAACTCCTGACATCTGGGTCGTTTGCCTAAAGCACCGTCTCCCTTTCCTCGCTCAGAACCGTAAGAACGACGAGGCGTCGTACGAGAAGATGCTGAAGCTGCGCAGGGACCTGAGCCGCGCCGTCACCATCCTGGAGATGATCAAGAGGAGAGAGAAGAGCAAGAGGGAGCTGCTGCACCTCACGCTGGAGATCGTCGAGAAGCGGTGAGTCCAGCTGCAGACCCAAAGTTCTGCTTCCCAAACGGGACCGAAGCAGCAAGCCGAGTTCCTACGACATCCTGGAAAACACTGGAATTCCAGTCAGGTGTTTGGAAGGTGCTTGATTTCTGCACAAAGTCCTTGAAAGTGCTTGACACTCAAATAATAAAATGCAAGATGTTTGACTAAATAATGGAAAACATTATTTGTTTTCATACACCTAAAAAAAAAGGCAGTTTTTTTTTTTTTTTAGTTTAGAATCGCTAAAGTTATTTATTTTTGTTAAAAGCCAGAAAACCTGGCAAGGACACTTTTCAGAGATGTTGTTTGTAACTTTATTTGTATTTTGTAGATTTTATGCTTTGCTTAATTCATCTTTTGGCAAAAATTGACTTGGGCAGTAATTTAGGAAGGTGACAATATGTAATCATTTAATTTGACTATGAATGTGATTTACTGTTGCATAGTTTCTTTGAATTGTTTCAATATTATGTTTATTATTCACATCAGCTTTTTATTTAAATATCCTAACAGTTTTGACGGATTTGAATTTATGGCTTACCACAACATTTAGTTTCCCTTTTGGATCAATTAAGTATTTTTGAATTTAAATTTGACTTAAATTAAGTTTAAACTGGCATTTTGGAAACTCTTCTGATTTTCTAACATTTAAAACAAACATTGTTTTAAATTTGGGGATTTCTTTTTTAAATTAGTGTTTCATTCTCAGATCAGTCAGGTGTGCAGGGTGAGTGAGAAACACTTCAAAACAAAACATTTTGTTCCTGCTGTAGGATATGAAATGATAAAACCAAAAATAAATTAACTGTACTCAATAACTGTGAACTAAAACTTTTTTTTTTAGTTTATTTATATTGTTTTTGTCTCTAAAGTGTGGTCCTGGAAAAGTTCTTAAATTTTACTGAAAATTGTTAAAACTCTGAAATATTTCAGAGTGGAAGCTGATGCTTTCATTTCCGTCTCCAGAAACTCCATGTCAGACTTTGGTGGAGAAATAATGGCGGAGGTTCTGGCTGAGCGGGCGCTGGTGAGGCCGCAGATCATCCCCCTGGTTCCGCTCACCAATCAGTACCGACACCAGGACCATCTGGACTCCAAGGACTACAAGTCCAAGGTGAAGCCGCTGTCAGGACCGCTAACGCCTTAGCGGTGCCGGAACGTTGTACTAACGCTTTGCTCTCGCAGCCCGAGAAGGCAGAACCCCAGCGGCCGAAGAGGAGGTACGAGAAGAAGCCGAAGATGTTGCCGTTGTCGTCGGGAACGGCCCACCACACGGGTCCGGTCGTGTTCAACGCCAAGGACCTGAACCAGTACGACTTCCCCAGCTCCGACGACGAGCCCTTCTCCCAGGTGAGGCGCTAACGGGTTAGCTCATCCTCAGCGATCAAACGATGGAGTTTGGTTTTAGTTTCTCAAGGTCTGCACTGCAAAAACACAAAATCTTACCACATAATTTTGGTTTAGTTTTTAGGGCAAATATATTAGGACACTTGAAATAATACAAAACTAACTTACAAGTAAGTTTTCAGCAAGTATTGGGAGCATGATTTAAGTAAAATAATGTAATATTGATGAAGAGATTTTACCCATGTTGTAAAATAATCTGCCAACTAAACTGGTGCTTGTTCATCAATATTACATTTTTTACTTAAAACAAGCTCCCTTTACTTGATGAAAAGTTTCTTATTTCACATGTACCAAGACATTTGCTTTGTAAAGTGTGGGACTTTGCTGTCAGGCAACGTTTAATAATGATGAGCAGAAACCCTGAATCTCGCTCTTTGTTTGTTTATTTTCGTATTAATGAGGGGAAGGTGAGCCGCCACCTTATTGAGTTTAATTTAAAAATCATTCCCATCTTCTCTTTGGTGCAGTTCCAGTTTAAATCTCTGCACTTCTGAGAGCGACGAACTTCACGGTGAAAACACTTTTTATCCTTGAGCTTGACTGGAACCCTGACCTTTGACCTCTTCTGCCCGCAGCTCCACTCAGGCTCTTCGGAAGCGGAGGAGGAGAACGACCCCGACGGCGCGTACGCGTTTCGCAGGAGAGCCGGCTGCCAGTACTACGCCGTAAGCCTCACACTTTTAGCTCAAGCTTTAAACAAACCGAGTTTGAAACGGGTGCTGGAAATCCTGGAATTGAATTTCAATGAGGTGTTTTCAAGGTTTGGAAAGTGCTTGATATTCAAACTGCATTTGAACTTTTGATTAAAACACTAAACTTGGAAAATGTTGAGTTGAAACCAGATATTTTTGTTCACCCAATAAAGACAGAAACGGATTTATTCCTCCTGTCTGAAGTTAAATCAGACTAAAGTATGAAAGTATTACTTTCATACTTTGAGTTATTTTTATTTGCTAAACACCAGAAAACTGTTTTGTTACTTTCTCTGTATAATTTAAGCAGAAAAATTATTTTGGGTTGTCTCAAAGTAATAAATATTGATTATTCCTAATTTCTCAATGACTTATTGATCGTCTGTTAAACATTAAAGAAAATTATTGAAATTTCAGGAATTTATTTATTTTTCCCTCTTACCAATCGGGTGTATGAGGTGTTGAACATTTCATAACATATATGAAGTTTACCCTGTGCAGAATAATGACACAAAAACTATTAAGGTAATAAATAATATTTCATCATTTTCCCAACATGACGACTTGAGTCGTTTTTGCCAAAAGATGTTTAAGACAAAAATAAATAAAAAATCTTTTTTGGCAAAAATTGACTCCATTTCCTGAAATGACTTTCAGGAATGTGATATAATCGTGAATTTAAATAATCTTTTTTTATTAGTTGTGTTTTTATCTCCAAGGTGAGGTGCTGGAAAAGTCTGGAAACTTACCTTGAAAACTCTTGAAATGTGCTTGAATTTTACTGTGTGAAAAGTGTGTGAGCCCAGTTAAACGACGCGTTTCTGGCTGTTGGCCTGCAGTCGGGTTCCCTTCAGGGTCGGGTCAGGCTGACCGCTGTGGTTCTGTGTGTCCAGGCCCGTCCGGACCTGGTGGGCAGCTGGCCGTGGAGCGGCGCCTGGGACGGCGGCCTGGCCGAAGCGCGTTTCCGCTACAGCCTCACTACGCTGACGGTTCCACGCCGCTGCCTGGGCATGGCGCGGCGGCGCGTGGGACGGGGCGGCAGGTCGGTTCTGTCGGTTCTGCTTCGCTCCAACATTTCATCTGAAACACGATCGCATGTTAGAGTGGAGATGGAAAAGAAATGTCATGGAAATCTTGTGCAGTTAAAATATAACTTGTATAACTCACTGATTTTGGGTTAATATCTGTAAAACGGATTAGATTTTTACTTTTGCAGAAGCTGTTTGTTGCTGCAAGTGGATACATAAAAAACAAAAGCCTAATATTTATACAGTTATTGAAATGTCATGATTTGATAGAGTATCAATTATTTATACCAAGCAGATTTGGAAATGGAGAAGGCAAATATAACTTACAAGGAACTGAAATTAATTTTAAAAAATGCTTAAATTAAATGTTTACTCTTTCTGCATTTAAATTTGAAAGTCATCGTCATGAAGCGATATGGCGCTGAATGTGTTTATTTTTGAGTTTTTTAAATATGTGTAATGGGGAAGCACCATATTTATGTGAATAGAGGGCAGATATTATTCTGATTCATGATTTATTTTAAGTTACATGAACTGTTGACCTTGATTCGATTAAAGGAAGTTTTTCCTGACTGGTTCTTGTGGGCCTGCAGGGTGTTACTGGACCGGGCGCACTCGGACTCGTTCCACCAACTGGACCTGGAGACGCCCGACCTGCCGCCGCCCGCCTCTCCGCCTCCCTCGGCGACTTCGCGCTCGCCGGCGCTCGCCGGTACCTCAGAAACAAATACCTCGGACAGAAGTTCCCCCCCCTCGGCGCCGCCCCCCTGCTCGGACCTCAGCCAGATACTGTCTAATATAAAGTCGTGCCGCTGGAGGCACTTCAGACCTCGGACATTACCACTACACGAGCTGGACAACGCCCAGCCGCTGTTCAGGAGGATCAGTCGAGGCGTGAAGCGCCCGCTCGCCGCCTCAGCTGGGGGTCGGCCGTTCGGATCGCAGCGTCCGGCCAGGGTGGTCCCTCCTCCCACACCCGTTGCTGGTAAGTGGCCTCTGAGGTTTCGCTAAAGCTGCAGCATGTAACTTTTATAACAAAAAAACTGTTTTTAACATATTTGTTGAAACTCTCACCATGTCATGACGGTTTACGGTTGCACAGATTGCAGTTTTCCCGTCTTTAAATAACCTGCTCTGCCGATTCAGATTTTTGCCAGTACCAATTTTGTTTGCAACAGTGGGATGATTATTAAGTGCAGACATGACCTGGTGGGCCGGGTCTGTCAGACAAAACTCTGACTGCAGAGCGGAAGACAGAGGCTGATTGTTAGAGCGGAGGTGGACGAGATCGGCTTCACGTGGAAGTATCAGCCGATCACCGATTTCCCAAAATTGAGGAAATCAGTGCCGATAAATGGACTTGTCAATAAATCAATGCACTTCTAGTTTATGAGACAAATAATCTGTGAAAAGCTCGATCTCCTCCACCACCTTCCTGAGCTGCTGTTGCTGTCTGAAGAAATTAATCACTCCCGACCAAAATCAACCAATGAGAGCCAGGAGGAGGGTCTTAGCGCTGTCAATCAGCCTCATGTACTCTCTGCTAGATGGCAGAGAATCATCTCGCTGTTGCAGGAGAACTGTTTGTCTGCCATCATCAGTGGCTATGCTAACTAGCATTAGTTAGCTGCAGTGTAGGCAGATCTGTTAAGACACTGTTGCAGTAATAAATGCGACCAAAAATAAACCATGGATGAGTTTCTCTTGTTGGTGTTGGTCCTTTCATCCTGGAAATGTTTTTTAGCTAATAGTAACTGTCTTTATGTGGCTCTGAAGGTTCACCCAGATGGCTAAGCTGCTGGAAACATGCTCCAGGAATGAACCTCGGGGAACCCCACTTATCCCAGAATAATTTGGGTTTTTTGCTGGTTGTCCAAAAAGTGTTGCTCATGTTTTTTTTTTCTGTAGATTCCCTCCATGTTGTTTTTAAAGTTGGAGCAGCTCCTTGTTTTAATCAGCCGAGTGTCTGTTGTGAAGAAGTGCGTCGGGTTGCATCGATTTTGTCCACGAGTATCTGAATAATTCATTCTTCTAGTATCAGTCATGTAAAGATATCAGTTATTTTAACGACGTTACTGCATCTGCTTTAATTTTACGTTTGTTTACTCCGACTCCTGCCTTTTGCTCTGTGAAAGATTTGTTCTTGTTTTTAAGTTTGAGCTCCCCTCCCAATCCCAGAGGCGTCAATTAAACCTGGATGTGCTGAATAAATTCATGACGCACGCCGGACCTGTTGCCGTTGACTCGCAGGCTAAACGCCGCACTCTGCAGGCATTCAGGCGCATCTGGTGCTGCAAACATTGTTTTTACATGCTTTTGGTTATTGATTGTGTTTGTGAAGCTGCACCGTAATGAGAATGCCCAGGCATGAGTCAAATTAACAGGGTGGTTCTGCTGGAAGCGACGCCACAGCGGCGCAGTTGACTGGGAAAACTTCAGATTGGAGGATTTTCATATGCTGGAGATGCCATCAGATGTTTGACTTGGAGAACAGAGGGACTAGTAGTCTCAGATGCTGTGGACTGGAAAACTTATGGGTCAGTGGGGAAAGAGGAAATCAATATTTCAGAGAAGCATGAAGCCGTTTCATTTCATGACATGAGAAACAAGACTTTGAAATCAATAAAAAGTAAAAATCAAAAGACTCGAGGCGAAAACCAAGAGTCGGGCGGAAAATGCTGATGTTTCACCGGCAGCAGGATTTTAATGCGTTTTTCCTGACTTGGATGTGATTGAATTCCTGCTTCTGAAGATTAGCTTTAGCTTTACACCAGATGTGCTGTTGCATCTGAACAGGTTCTGGTTCTGTTTGCACACACTGGGAAATCAAACTGATTGTTTAGAAACGCTAAGAGACGAATGAAGGAAGTGACGCAGATTTGATCCAAACACATCGAAGTTCTCACCGGATGTTTGAAAAGGTTTAGCTGGTTGTTTTGGGAACATGGTTGGTTTCCCAGCTTTTCATTCCCAGTCCACTGTGCGCCTGTAGCATCACTAAGACATGTTCATGTCTGACCTGTAAAAATAGGCAGGTTCAGATGTTTTAAAGGGGCTAAAACTGGGATCCACTGCAAATATTTCACACATTTCCCAAGTTAAATGAAAAGGTTGGACGGCTGTTTTCCCACCGTATTACCAGAGGATAGGTCTTACTTTTTCAGACGTAAAACGTTTCATTTTCTGTCTGTCGGAAAGTGTTAAAATCAGTCTGAAAAAAGGTTTTGAGAGGATTAATGTTTCAAAATCTAAACTAAGAAATGGCAAATTCAGGAAACGTTTACATTCAAACAGGTTCTATTTCAACAGAACTTAAATATCTACTTGTTTCTTCCTTTTGTGTGAATTCTGTAGTGTTTTTACACGGAGGCGTTGGCCGAGTTGCTCTTGGTTTGTTTTTCTCCAAACTGACTGGATAAAAGTCGAGTTTAAATGTTGTTTTTTTGTTGCAGTTTTGGCTTAATTTCTGCTCTGTTCTTTCAGCAAATCGATTTTTTGAGTCTGTAATAAACTAACGATGAGTCAGTTATTAAATTTGTTGCGGATTAATTCAACAGTTGATTAATCGTTTCAGTTTTAAACGAGTATAAAAAAAGTTGAGTCTCTTTTTACTCTTATTTCTCCCAGTTGTGCCTGCAGCTGTTTAATTGATCAGCGGTGATCTGATTGATCGTTTCGGCCCTGGTGTGAAGTTATGAACATGCAAAACCTCCTACTCATCTTTTGGTTCTCTACGTTCACATACAGAGGACCAGCAGTCGCCGTTTCCTGTCAGAAAGCATCCTTTGATGCTGTCGTAACTAATAAGTTTTTTTGTTTTTGGTTAAAGGAATCAGCCTGGTTCACTGCAGTATTTAATCTCTGTGGTATAAAGATCAAGTCGACACGAAGGAGTTCTGGGTAGAACATATTTAGACGAAGCAGATTGTTCACCTCAAATGTAAAATGTATTTTTTATTTTTAACAGTTTTGGGTTAATTTCTTCAGTAAATTGCCTTTTTGAGTCTGTATACTCCATTTAACGATTAATCGTTTACTAAATTTACGATTATTTCAATAGTTAATCGTTTCTGTACAAAACAGTTTGTCTCCTTTTGCTCTTACTACTTCCTGTTGTACCTGCAGCGGCTTAATTAATAATTAAACTTGAGTAGTCCGATTAATCATTTCATGCCAGATCACAAAATAAATGGATAACAATCCTCCTATTTATCTCCGATTCTGTACTTTCGTGCATCCAGCATCGGCAGTCGGTGTTTCATGAAGCTGTTTTTCCCCTCAAAGTAACCCGGATTGGTGTGCAGCAGTATTTTATCTCGGCGTGGGATAAAGATGTTTTTCCCAGATGGCTAACTTGACTCCTCTGTCTCAGCGTTCACAGCAGAACAGTACCAGCAGCATCAGGAGCAGCTGTCTCTGATGCACAAGCAGCAGCTGGAGCAGATCCAGCAGCAGCACCAAGCCAACAGCACTGCCAACAGCACACAGGTCGGTACGCCGCCACCGCCACGCGCTCAGCCGCTGGGTTTCTCCTAAACGCTGCTCCTCTTCCCCACACAGAGCCTGGCGAACACGCTGGACGAGGCCAGCGCTCACTTCGCCGCCTCGGCCCTCGTCTCCGCCGAACAACTGCTGGCTCTGAAAACCAAGGACGAGCTGGCCCTGGGAGGCGGAGTCAACGGCATCCTCTCCTCAGGTACAGCCGACGACACAAACGCTCCACCCTAGAGTGTCGCTGGATGAAACGCCTAAAATTTCCCCAAAGATCAAATAAAAGCAGAAAACCAGTTTATGAAACCCGATGCCTTCCTTCATTTGGGATTCTGGTGAGAAGCGGGAAGCAACCTCCATCGCCTTCCAGTTGTTTCATAGATGGTGACATAAATGAGTTTTCTCTTCTAAAATCCTCACCAAGCTCAACAAATCGGTGACTTTCTGGGTTTTCTAGTCAAACTGCTCAAATTACAGCTTTTATTTTCATCAGCAGTCCCACATGCGTTTCTGTACAATTTGGCGTAATCACTGCTCTGACTGGCGTTCTTTCAACTGCTGTTTACTACAGTTAACGATTTATCGATTACTAAGTATTTGGCTATTAGTTCAATTATCGATTAATCAGAACTGTTCTGATCATTTTAATAAACTTTTTGTCATGAATATTAAGGAATTATTGGTGTAAAATAAGTTCATATTGTTGCTGAAAACTCATTTGTAAGTCAGTTTTTTTTATTTGAAGTGTCCTGAGATATTTGCTCTGGAAATTAGACAAAATACTTGGTAAGATTTTGTATTTTTGCAGTGAAAACATGAACTTAAGAGATTTCAACACCCAGAAAACCTGATGCAGTGATTTTGAGCATGAACATTAAAGTGACGGAGACAAAGATCGGTCCCTTTTTAAATGCGTAGTAAAGTTTTGCTAAAGTGAATTTTTGTTTTAATTCATATTTTGCAGTTTTCTGTGGCTCCTTTGAAAACATTTTTAAAAAGTAGAATTTATTTAATTTTCCTCGGCCGATAATTTCAACTTCCATGTCCAAACCCCTCCTCCCCCTGTCGCCCTCCTGCCCCTCCCACCACCACCGCCCCGTTTTTACCCCAACCTCAGGTGTCTACAAGGGCTTGTCGCTCTCGAGCACAGCGTCCCCGTCCCCCGCCGCCCCGGCTCCACCCACCGCAGCCCCGACGTCCGCCTTGCTCCACCCCTGCTCCACCACCCTCGGCTCCGCCACCAGTAACAACAACGGCACAGCCCACCCCCCCGCCAACGCCGCCGCCGCCAACGCCACTCAGGTCCTGCTGGGAAACAACAACAGCCTCCGTTTGGCGATCCCCGCCGGCAAGCGCATCCACGCGCCGCGGACGCTGAGCGCCACCATGTCGACATCCGCCTTAAAGCTCGCCCACGCAGCAACCGCCAACTGTCAGAAGCCCAAGGTGGCTGCCTCCTCCACCTCCCCGCTGGACATGGTGCCCAGGTGAGGAAAACGCCTCTTGTCCTGTAAAACATTGGTAATAATGCAGGGACACATTCTCAAAGATCCATAAGCTTAACACTGTAAACATTTTAAATATCCAGAACACGCAGAACAGAAACAACAAATAAGATGAATTATGAAGTTTCTGTAAACAAAATCGTTCTTCAAAAAATGGTCAGCTGAGGCTAAAGCAGCAAACCAGAAGATTTTTATCGTCCAGGTTTTGGTAGAAAGGGAAAATAAAAACGGTAAATAATGAAAATGGAAATTATTGAATTTGTTTTAATTCATTATGCGATTAATTTATTGCTTATTGCAACAACAAAATGTTGGTTATTTTTTCTCCACAATCAGGAACGAAAAAAGCCAGAATGTTTTTACTCATCATAGGCAACTCTTAAATTAGATTTTAGCTTTGATTAAAGGAGCTCAGTTTTTCTGCAGTTTACAGTTTTCTGGATGTTTGTTCCAGATTAGAGGAACATAAAAACTGTTCTCCATGTTTGGCTCTGGGAATAAAACAGATTAGTCCTTTATTAAACAGATTAGTCCTTTATTAATCCCACAGTGGATTTATGTGTTATAGCAACATAACAAAATATACCCAATTTAATATATATGTCTTAAAACAGTATAAACTGTATACTAATAAAATGCCTAAGATCTCAGATTTGTAAATAACTTAAGTTGCATGACAGTAAAGTTGAAATAATGGGAGAATAAAGTTTTATTACCAGAATAAATTATATTGTATATATTAAAATATTTTGTGGCCTGGTCTAAATACCGTCATGCAGTTCACAGACGGGATGATTAAAGCTGTTTTCTGTAAACATTTTCTGCCGTTTGTATTTTCTGTTTTAAAAAACAAGGCAAGAAAAAAACATTTTTAAATTGGATCTGGTGTGAAAAAAATAATTTTATTTTTAAGCCACATTCACCAGCTGAAGCTGAAATGTAATTGGACAAATTTATATATATATTTATATACTTTTTGGCTGATTGAAACTACAAAAAAACAGTCAAGTGGTTCAAGTTGGACCCAAAGTGAGTCAGTACTGTAAATGTTAGTCATTGATGCTGTTGAACTAAATACTGAGTCCGTTCTGGAATTAACAAAAACACTTTTGCTGATGTTTGTGTCGCTTCCAGAAATAAACCTTTAAAGCCTGAAGCCGACTGTGAGCGCTAAGCTAACGGTGCTCCTCTGCCTCCTCTGTCCCGTTTCAGGGAGAATCTGGAGCAAGACAAGCCAGCACTGAACAGTCTGTCAGAGAACACAGTGGCCATGGAGGTCACGTAGCCGCCGCTGCCGGCTGCGAGGGAAACGTCACCCAGCGGCGTTTTCTTTGTTTTCCTCTTTGTTTTTTTAAGGTGCTATGCATCATTTTGTTTAGTCGTGAATGCAAGTGGTGGCTGAATGAGCACGGCAAGGTTGGGTTTCCACGGCAACCGTTTTGGGACTTAATTGCAATGCTCGTCTCGTACAAATTTCTTTTTCTTCTCCCCTCCCATAATTTCCCCCCGTTTGTTATTGTTAATAAGAGATCGTCTGTAAATTCTTAATATGGCAATTATATGTACAGTACAGCATATTTGTAATAAATACCCCCGCCCCACCTTTAAACGCCCCAAAATCCCCCCCCCCCCCCACCCACCACCACCGCCCCTCGTTCTTGTATATAACATTACTTGAATACAGAATTGTTCATTTGTGATGTTTTGCACTCGAGATACAAAGTTAAAAAGAAAAAAAGAGAAAACGACAAACTGCGACTGGTGCAAAAATAACGAGGAGTGAAAGTTGTACCACAGAAAAATGTATGTCATCACATGCATGGTGCAGAACCTGCTGTTGGATCTATTTATTGTGCCGTGTTTACAAAGTTATTTCTCCCCACCTTCCCTCCCTGCCATTCATGTCAGTTTTTTTTTTTTTTTTTTTTTTTTTTTTGCTAAATTTTAAATACACTGTACCTCTCACCGGTGCCCCAAGCTGTAGTCAGTGTTCAGCTACATCTACATATATTTTTTAAAAACATTGAACATGTTTCCTTTGTTCCACCACATTTGTCGTGTTGAGGAGTCGCAGGCCGGTAGGCGAGGCGTTTGTTTGCTCTTCCATACATTTTTTTATTCCTGAGACAAGTAACAAAACAATTGGGATGAAGACTTTCCCAGAAGTCTTTGCTGCTTCTGACGTATCTAGGCACTATATGATTTGTTTTTTTAATTGACTGATGCTGCTTTTGTATGATTTTTACCGTTTGGTTTCCACTAGATGGCTTCATTTTTCATTGTTTTTCCTCCATCTCTTGTTTTTTTTTTAAATAAATATTTTTGTATCACCTCCCCCACTTTTTATTTTAAATTTGCTCATGGAAAAACTTCATTCTTTTGTTACTTGTTGCTCTAAACAAAATATATATATCTATATATAAGGGAGTAAAAAAAAATGCAGTAACTGACATTTATCATTCCAACCTCTATGTAATAACAAACATGTATGAATTGAAAAAAAATTAGACGTTTTCTCTACTTTAAAAGAAAAAAAGCTATCCTGAAGGCTGAAAGGCCATGAACCACATGTTATCGGGTGCCTTCATTTGGGAAAAAATAAAAACCTAAAAAAAAATGTGCTCTCTTCTGTGAAGAGTTTGGTACTGAACAAGGCTACTTGTAGTTTTTCTTTGTTTGTACCACTATCCCTATGCCCATTCCAGTTTCCCAGTTTGATTCATGACTCTGTTTCCTGTTTGTTTTTTGTAGACCCAACCACCACACACACAAACAAAAGAAATCCTTTTGAAATGTCACAAAATGAAATAAAAATCCAGGGCATTATGTGTTTCGACCAGCATGTGTTTGTTTTTTGTCGTCTACAGTTTGTCTCTAAATGTTGCTGTAAATTACCTCCAAGTTTGGGAAGCTTGTTTAATTTGGAAAAGTAAGTACACCCCTGCTGCTTCGATAGGCTTTCATAAGGGAAGTAGCGGCTAGCTTAATGCTAATTGAGTAATTTTCAATGTGAGGTGTCATTAAAAGCAGAGTTTTCAAGGTGGGAGCTACTATTCTCAATTTACATATATATATCTATATATATATAGATATATATATATATCCCAAAGTGTAATTAAATGATTTATGGTAAGAGTCGTGGATGACGGCAGGATTTCCGGTTTCCATTGAATGTATAATTGCGCAATTTGATGGAAACTTGGATTAATAAAAATCGATAAAGGTTTGGCGCTAGGATGACTCCCCCCCCTCCCCCCCCCCAAACTGCAATATACTTTTTTTTTTTTTCCGCACCAGTCACGTCAACAACCGGATGTTGCCGCTGGCGGGAACCACGAAGGAGACGACCGGAAGTAGCTGGAGGATCATGGCGGTCATGTTTCTTGACTTTTTCACTGTGTGATTTTAATTTTTTTATGGAAACCCCGTAATGGCGAAACTGTTTTTTCGACAAAGTCTTGCGCACAATTTGTAATGGAAACGCAGCTAGCCTTGCTACAAAATGAAGAAGCTTCCGACCAAAGACTTGCTGTACATGCTAACAGCTCAACTCAAACATGTCCTGGATGACGCCATTGTCTGTTGGCTAGCACTGCTAATCCAGCTCATTTGCTTTTGCTGCCCTTCTGGAAGTCACTGAAAGTCAGGAAGTCGGGATACGATCGATGATAAAGGTTTGAACTTCCTCCGTCTCTCTCTGCATCCATGAAGTTTCTTCTTCAACTCCTGGTATTTCGGATTTGGTTCAGGTATGTTATGAGGTATTGAGATGCTAATCAGCTGCTGCATGTGGTTACAAAATGCAGCATTTAAAACCAGAAGGAATAATTGTCCAAAACGACACTTCAGTCAAAAAGATTCATGAAATCAAGATCCCATTAAGCCTGAAAAATATAAAATTTGTCAAAATTCTCTGAGTGGTTGAACTTTGAGGCATGCTTCTACCAGCATCACAACTAAACAGAACGCCAGACCAGATGTAGCTTTTATTGAGAGGAAAAAGAGAAAACAAAGGTAACAGTCGAAATAACGGCAAATAATGCAAACTGGAGAGCAGAACAACAAAGTAGAGTAAGAAGTGGTCAGTTTGTCCAGTAGCAACATAACTACAAAGTTAGCTCATAGTGAGGCCTGAGAGAGGAAGAGCCTCGTATTGCGTCCCAATATTTTGAAATGACTAGTTGTGTGTTCAGGTTTCATGCAGAACAAATCTGTAAAAACAAACAAATTAGAAATCTAACCTATTTAAAACAAAACCCTGCACCGGATTCCCATCTGGTTTGGCCAAAATCAGTCGAAGTTGGCCCCAAACAAAAAGTCCATCCAAGTAGCAGCAAACCAGCAGGATTTTAAAGGGGCCCTATTTTACAAAACTCACATTTTGCAGGTTTTTATGCTACGATTTGGATTTCTGCTGCTTCTAAAAACAGCCAAAGCACTAAAAAAAAAAAAAAAACACAAAGCCATTTATAGGCAATAAGTTAATATTTTTAGTTTGTAGAAAATGAGCCATGTCAGAAGCCTCCCAGTGGTTGAGTCACAACTGAGGATTTGTTGTTAATTTACCTTCCAGAAACCACATGCTCCATTCTTCTTGGTTGTGTAGGATGCTCTATTAATGCTTTTCAAAGATATACAGTGGTATCATTATGCATCTTTTTGCCGTAATTTTCATGTGAGTGTAAATGTTGAGTTGGGGGCGCAGCCAGCAGCAGCTTATGTGGATTTAAAGTGACAAAATGCCCTAAAACAGATAAAAATGCAGAACTGACCAGAATGAAATTTAATTATCTAAGAATGATTTTGTGAAATCATGTTTTGTGTAACTTGTTGACCTATCATAACCTGTTCAAGGAATCATATAAATATATAAATCATGAGATTTTCTGGTCTCGACCTGGTTCTGAAATGACCTAAAGTGTACAAAGCTACACACTCATTTCTTACATATGGATAAGTGAAGCCCAACAGCCCCTGGAATATAAAAGTATTTACTTTGTTTCTGTCGTGATGGTGCGTTTGCTAACTGTTCACATCATTTTAAAGCTTCCTGTTATACAGAGCTCTGTAAAGAGGCTCTGTGTTCATTAGCGCCGGTGTTTCGTGTGCGTTTGTAGACGCAGGGATTTGGTGACATCGGTCGTTGCTTTGTGCGAGGTTGAGTTCAAAGCTAAAGGACATGAGGACGCTCTCCGGATCCGGTCTCATTATCTAAGCGCCGACTTTATCCTTTGGATCTTTGTTTACGGCCCAGACAGAATCTAATGAAGAGCAGACATGGCGGACTGGCCGCCTCATTTCAGCTGATGAGTCAGAGGAGGGGAAGATGAAGGTCGCCTGCTGATCACTTTGACCGGCTTGATGCCTTCAGTTTGAAATAAAGTACCCAGATTGATCAATACTTCAATAACCTTCCAGGACATTGAGATAAAGGCATGAATGTTAGTGGTTGTAGTAACTATATGTCTTCGTTTTAATATTAGACGTAATGATTATTTGTTCTGTTTTCCAAATCTTTTCAAAATCCTTGACCATTTAAAGAAATGTTTCTTGTTACAAACACAATTTTAATATGTTTTACTAAGAATTTAACATAAAACACCAACAAAAAAGGAGAATTAAAAATGGTTTCAACATTTTTGTGGCCAAATAATTAGCAGTTTACTTCGGTTTCAGGCACTCAGACATTAAGTATAAATATAAAAACAACAAAAAAAAAGATTAAAGGAACAACATTTACATGTATTTGAACCATTTTTGTAGTTTTTAGTGCAAATATGTTATTTTTTTCCAATAATAAAAATAAAATTTTCCCATGTTACAGTACTTTTTCATCAATATTGAGGAATATTTTACTTAAAACAAGCTCATATGTCTTACTTTAAACTTGCTTCTAAGCTAGTTTTGTCTTATTTCAAGTGCACTAAGAAATTTGAGGTAGAAACGATGAAAATACTTGGTTAGATTTTGTTTTTGTAGTGAATATACAGAATGGATTCGTATGGTAGTGCAAATACGCTTATTTTGTTTCACACTAATGAAATAGTAGTAACAGCAAGTACCTTCAATTAATTTACTGTTGTAGACAAAAGCAAAATAGCAAAGCGTCATTTTCTGTGCTGTTATTCACCACTGAAGCAACAAATTACTTATTTGAACAAATAAAAACATGAAAAATGATCATGTTGATCCCATGTTCAGTCTAAACAGTAAAAGTCTGTTAATCTAAAATAATATTTAATGTGAAAATGTTTCACAGACTTTGAGGAGTTTTGGTTTTTAGAAGCTCGTCCTAATGAATCTTCCTCAAGAAAACAAAACTTATGATTAAATGAGTTGGTTTCCTTTGTAAAGTCAGATACTTTAGATGTTTTTAGGGGTTTGGATCAAACACAAGATGTGAAATAAGCAGAAAAATATAAATTTTATTCCAACAGCACTGAAGAGCAAATTCAAAAATACATATTAATTAAAGGGAAATTAAATGTTCAATGGTTTAAAGAGAAAACTAAAATGATCTGCAGCAGGAAAAGTAAAGTAACAGCAAGAAGAAAAGAAAATTTCATGAATGTCAAAAAACAAAAAGCACAACGTGAAAGTCAGTCAGAGTATCAGGATCCCATCCAGAGCTGCTCTCTCTCTTTTTCATATGTAGTTAAGAATAAAAAGTTATGCCGAGACTGAAGCTTCTGTAGAGCAGAATTTAATTAAGAGTTTTTCCCCGTGTCAGCAGAAACTGAAATGAAAAGAAACCCTCTGAGTGGAGAGAACCCTGATTTCACAGCCGCCCCCGATCTCCGGCTCGCTCTGCCCGGACTCCCCGGAGGGCCGGCAGGATGGAGGCGGGATTATCGGCGACACAACTCCGCGTGTCGTCGGTGGGACCGAGCGGGAGACGGCTCTGGGTGTGGGAGAGGAAACAAAGCAAAGATCCCAAAATGTAAGAAGAACATCAAGTCCAAACAAACTGGGTTTGGTTTACGGCCTCGTTTAAACCAGTGAGTCAGATTTAGAAATATTTGAGTCTGACTTGGAAAACAGGGCAGCGATTCCTTAAAAGGAAGAAATACACCCAGAAATACTATTTATTATGTAGTTTAGGGCTGAACAGTGAATATCTAGATGTCAACATCTAGATTATTCAGAGCTGTAATAGGTCAGATGAGACAGAAACATTAACGCTGCAGTACGTAACGCTTATAAAAATGTTTATTTTACATATTTGTTAAAATTACCATCATGCTGTTTTATACAAGACAGATAATCTGTGGAAAAATCAAACTCCACTGGCTCAGTGCTAAACAGAAACTACCAATCAGAGCCAAGAGGCAGGTCTTAGCGCTGTCAATCACTCTTGTGTTCAGCACAACATAGCCTACCACCAATGCTAAGGCTAGTTAGCATAGCCTCCGATGACGGCAGATAGTTGTTTTTTTGCAGCACATTTCGCAGCGTATTTATTCAGAGTTGATTGACAGCATTAAGACCCGCCTCCTGCCTCTGATTGGTTGTTTTTGGTCGGGAGCGATGCATTTCTTCAGTCGGCAGTAGCAGCTCAGTAAGGAGGTGGAGGAGATCGATGTTTTCACAGATTATCCGCCTCATAAACTGTCACAACATGGTGACAGTTTTAATAAATATGGAAAACACATTTTTGTAAAAATGACACATTGCAGCTTTAACTCCAGTTTTCACCTGCCACCCTCAAACTCCCTTTTCTGATATTGCCCTGGGCAACTGCCCATAAAAACCTAAATGTTTAACAGCATTTTATAGTGATATCAAATTATAGTGAGTCTGTTTTATGAAAACTAATAAGACTCATACAAGAATTTTTAATTGGAGGAAATATCTACCGTTTATCAGGTGGTCAGCTGAAAAATCATGTTAGTTTCTGTAATAAACTTGATATGTGTGTTAACTAGAACGTAAAGGTCTAAATGGTTTAACACAATCTTTTTTTTCTAAATAAAGACCGCGACCATCATCTGAGTGAATCAGGAGACGGACTGCTCTGCGATTTATAGGATTTTAATCCCAGAGGATTACATGATTCCAGCTTTGTTCAGGGATAAAAGAAGCACCAAATTATTCCTCCATGAAGCAGCGAGGCGACAGCAAGCGTGGAAAATCCTGTTTCACGTGTGTGTGTGTGTGTGTGTGTGTGTGTGTGTGTGTGTGTGTGTGTGTGTTGTGGCTTCACTGCGTTCGCATTATTAATCTCTGGCTCCACCTGGTGGTTAAACCAGTGCTATGCATATTAACATTTTTCATGTAAATGTTTGCCAACGAACTCAAAGCTCAGAAAAATTCTGTAAAAAAATGTTTGTTTCTTATAGAAGTTTTTTAGATTAATCTCAAACATCCTGAGTTGTTTCTCGTCAATTTTTGACTTTTCAAACTAAGAAAGGTCATTGTTTTTTCTACAGAAAAAAAAGAGCTCAGAAATTTTCGAGTATTTCTAGAATATCTGAGATTAGTCTCACAATTTCAGATTTTTTTAGGACGTTTTTGAGAGTTTTAGCAGAAATCTACTCCGCCTTTTCCCTCTATCTACCATGACCTGAATACGTCGCTGCATGTTAATAAAAATAACTAAATAAATAAAATAACTAATAAAAATAACTAAAGTACATAAGAGCCAGCCATATAGAAACATTCTGATGATAAATTTTTATTTTCATTATTCTGACATCACAGGTCCTTATTTTCTAATAAAACTAGCTTGTAGTTTTATTCCTTATTTTTACTGTGGAGTCACTGCAGGTTACCATTAAAGAACGGAGTAAAACCCAAACAAAACTTTATTTACAGAGGGTGGAGAAATCAAACATGCATGCAGTTTTTCCGTCAGGAAGCAGCCGCAGCCGTTTTTCTCTTGTTGAGCAAATACTGTGAAATATTTAGAGGCTAGGTGTCTTCAGAAGAGGGAAAACCTTCAAAGAGGCTCCTGATCAACACTTCGCCTTCACTTCCTGCTCTCCTGGCGGCTCAAACGTCACTGAAGAGTTTTCACACCTCAGTGGTTTTACTCCTGCAAATCAGCAACGATCAACAAAATATGACCTTTTTGACAGAAAATTAATAATTTAAAAAACCCTTTAATGTTTAAGTGGAAGCTAATTTCTACAAAGTCATGGCAATTTAATAAAAAATAAATCAAATTCACCTTCTTCAAGTCAGTATTTAGTAGATGCACATCTGGACGCTGCAGTTTTTACTCCATTCTTCCTGCTAAACTTTTCAATACAACAGAAAATTAGGGCCACTGTAGATGAAAGAAAGGGAGTTAATTTCTCCCAAACACTCATCAAATTTTTAGATTAATCTCAAATATTTTCTAGAAGAAAAAAAAACAGGGAATTTCTGACCTTGAAAAGTGGAAACTTTGCTACAAAAACTCAAAACTTCTGTAGAAAAAAAAAGGTGGAAGCTGAAAATTTGATAGAAAAAAACTTTTTTAGATTAATTTCAGAAATCTTCTTGCAAAAAGCCTTGAAATTTCTGACCTGGAAATGTTGAAAATTTGCCACAAAAACTCAAAAGTTGGATTTTTCTAACATTCAGGGGAAAAGTTCAGAAATTGAGATTGCTCAGAAATTTTCTAGAATTTTTTTTTGTTAATTTCTGATCTTGAAAAGTTGAAAAAAAAAAAACCAGAAAAATAAATTGTAAATTTCTGGGCTACAAATGAAATAAAGTGATAAAAAACTCAGACATTTTAAAATCAATCTCAGAAATGTTATAGATCAAACCTGGAAATTCCAAAAGTCGACAATTATAGACTTCTGTAACATTCCCTCCAAAAATAGCAACAGAAATTGTATTTAATTTATATTTATTTTTATTGCTCAGAAACATTTCACTGCCTTTAAAACATCATATTCAGCTCATAAACTGCATTCAGTTTTAATGAATTAACCAACAGATGCATTGATGGTTGGTAATGAATAATTTCAGGCTTTTATACGCTGAAAACATTCTGCAAAACAAGATTAAATGACATTTCTATTGTTTACAATCACTAATTTTAAATTAACACTTAAAATTCATAGTTGAAATAAATTTTAGTTGATGCATTCAGACTGCTACAGTATCAAAAAAAAATCTGTTGAAGTTTTTTAGGATGAATAAGGAGAAAACCTTAAAATGAGCTTTGGTTAAACATTGCACATGTAAACATTCAGCTTTCAGAACTGAGACGAACATTCAGCTGTAAACTCTGAGCATGCATACATGGAGAACAACAGCCAGGCGTCTTACGGTAAACGGCGATTAAAACCAGAATCCAGATAAAAACATGAACCTAAATTCACTCCTGGTGGGTGGGAAGGAATGAAATGTGCAAAAATAAACAAAACTGCTTGAATTCATGACCTTCTGGTTCAGGTAAACATCATTAATCAGTTGAATTTGGTGTCAAAACACACGTCGGTACCACCCAGTGTCAGTTCATGGACCACAAACTCTGTCGGGTTTTAATTTACTGATCAAAACAAAACTAGCGGTACATTTAAAAAAAGCATTTTATAAGATAAAATTACAATATAAACCCTAGAAAACATCTTCAAGACTAAAAGGTAGTTTTTAATTTCTAGAGGATCAATTCACACAATTAAATATTTTTTCTACTTGGAGCTGATGATATGTCTGAAAACGTATCGCGATATAATCGTTTCATATCAGTCAATCTAGATAGTTATTTATTAAATTGTTTTAAATGTCTGAAATATTGCCAAACTGGTGGTGTGGCCTTTCCTGTTTTATCTAGTTTTCTCTCCACGCTGTTATTTATTTTTAAGTAGTTTTATGCAGTGGTGAAACATTAAACTGCTGCTGCGCCAGTTATGCAACAGCTTGTTGCTAGGTAACCGAAACTTGAACTGCTGGTTACCAAGCAGGTCGTTGCTAGGCAACCAAAGAGTGAGTGAGTTAGTTTATGCCACATCGACTACTGTACGTGTTTTTTGTCTCTGTATGTTTTTGAAATAGTTATCGTAGAAATAGAGGAAACAGAACTGCTTCGTAAACACTTCAAAATAAGAGCATGAAAATAAAGGTCTTAACTACTTGAAGAATTGTTACCAAAACTTCAACACAGATACTGAACTTTATTCAACTGAAAGTTTGCAAAATATTTTACACTTAGCTTGTTTGGAGGAAGCTAAGTTTGCTAAATGTTTTCAAAGTTAGCCAAAACGCTAAACAGAAAGTTAGCTGTGCTATTAGCACATTAGCTAACATGTGTCCACCACTGTTTTCTGCTAATTGTGGACGTCCCAACCAAATACTGTAATTGGATGTATGTTTCAGCAGGCTGACATTTCAAATTGGGCCAGATTTTCTGAGAAACTAATTGTTTGGGTTTATAATCATGATTAACAGAAATAAATGTCTGAAATATTTCACACATTTTGATCTGATTGACAGAGGTAAATAAACTTTTTGAGTATTTCCTATTTATATGTGAAACATTAAACCGTCTTTTAAGTTCAGATATTTGAGTGAACCAACCCTTTATAGGTCCAAATGGCCAGATCACATCTCATTTTTAATCCACCCTGGACATAAAATAACAGACATTTTGAATAAAAACTATATATTGGAGTCTCTGGTGTTACTTCAGGCCCTCAGATGCCGTTGGACATCATCCCCGTGTTCAGTTTCAGGAAGAACGACTTCAGCTTGCACAGCCGGCACTTCTTCTTCTTCTTCTTCTTCTTGGCGTTCTTACCTTTCTTGTAGACTCCCTGATATTTCGCCTCCTCCTCTCCGTCCACCCAGGGTGCCCAGGCCCCGCCGTGCCGGCTGGGGTTGGCCCGCGGGTCGTCGGGGGGGAAGTACACCGGTACGGCGGTCCGGTTGTAGTGGGCGAGCCGCTCCAGCAGCTGCTGGACCACGTCTGGCCTCTGGTCCGCCAGGTCCCGCCGCTCGAACGGGTCGGACCTGATATTGAAGAGCCAGACAGTCTTCAGGCTGGGCGGCTTGGAGAGCGGCGAGGAGGAACGCTCCAGGTTCCACCAGCGGCCGGGAAGCGTGGGAAGCATCTGCGGATCAGCGATCGGGAATGTTTTAGCTTGTTTTGTAGAAGTAAAACAGAATATTTTTAATGTGGATTCACAACAGCTCTGTTTAATCCACTTTAATTGAACATTTAGGTGCAGCAACGCTTATTAGAGGACAAGTCAAAGAGTAGGTGTCGTTCTAGTTACCATGACAACAGAAAGAAACTTGAAATCTCTGAAAAGATTATGACTTTGTATAGCTAACGTTTTCGTAAGTTGCTTGGACTTAATTTATTTAATTTATTCTTGACGAAATCAGTCCAGTGGCAGCAAATGACCACCAGACTTTGAACACGGTTGGCCCAGAAAGTCCGGTTCCTTTTGGGTAGATGTGAACGTGTAATCGAACTCTAACGCGGACCAAAACAACGAACTCTGGTCCGCCTACAAACCGCAGTTTGGTTGAAGTGAACTCTGATGCGATTCGAGTGAATATGTGAACGCCAAGTGGACCGTAGACTACTCCAAAAGTAGGAAGAGAACTACAACACAGGGCATTCTGGTTAAATACAACTAAAACAAGTGACAGTGTAGTGCTAGCGGGAGAAATGACTCATGGTCTTTTTTTGTCTTTT